GAAGAGAGAGAAGAAGAGAGAGAAGAAGAGAGAGAAGAAGAGAGAGAAGAAGAGAGAGAAGAAAAGAGAGAAGAAGAGAGAGAAGAAGAGAGAGAAGAAGAGAGAGAAGAGAGACGGAGAGAGGGAGAGGGAGAAGGAGAGAGAGAAAGAGAGAAAGAGAAAGAGAGAGGGATAGGGGGAGATAGGGAGGGAAAGAGGGAAGGGAAAGGGGATAAAAAAGATGTGTTATGTACCTGTGCTAATTTCCCACAAGGAACATAAACATTATGCACTACTGTACACATGAATAAAATAGAATTTTAAAAAAGAAATACTGAAAAAAATTTTAAATGAAAATCAAGCCATGGACTCAGGAATTTCTACCAACTTTTTCTATGCTGTGCTGAACTACAGTTCTAAAGTTTAGATCAGTTACTAACATTTTCTCTATTGTACTTTCAATGCTCTGAGATAGCTCCAAAGGACTTAAATGTCTTTTTGCCTTTGATATGAAATTTTTTCACTAGGACATCTTCATCTTTTTCATCATAACCACTTTCTACATTTATGCTAATAAATGCATAGTACGCATGGTGGTATCCACCTATAATCCCAATACTTGGGAGGCTGAGGCAGGAAGACCACCTTAACCCAGAGGCCAGCCTGGGCAGCATAGTGAGTGTATAGCAAGACTACATAGCAAGATCCCATCTCAAAAAACATCGTTTATTAATTAATTAATTAGCCTCTGGTAAGTAGTCTGGGTGTCTATTTAAAAGTCTATCAACGTAACTAGGGTCTGCTATATCTTTTTTAACTGCATTTCCCTTTCACTTAAATTTCAATTAAAGTGTTACTACTTTGTGTTACTTTGTTTCATCTCTATTGGCCAATCTCCTTACCTAGTTCCCTAAATATCGCTTGAGCTTTAACACTGAGACAACACAACTAAACACTTCCTTGTCTATGCATAAACTTCCTAGCAGATTTGCAGTGACTGATCAACAGAAGAAAGCACTCTGATACACAGCTATTTTACCTAGAGTGATTTACTGGACTAAAGACTTTACAAAAAGGCTTGTACTTAACATAGTTGCTCAAACATAACATCCTACGGTAACTGAAATTTGAACTGTACAGTTGAGGGACTGGTATTATTTGACTAAACCACAGTAACTGAAACTTTTGCATATCTGACCTATACAAATAAAGTGAGCACTTCCAGTAAATTAACATTATTTTGCTGGCCCAGCACTTGGGAGGCTGAGGCAGGAGGATCACTGTGAGTTCCAGGCCAGCATGGACTACATAGCAAGACCTTGTCTCAAAAAATATAAACAAAATAAAAACATTATTTGACAAGAGTAGTGGCCCACATCTGTAATCCCGGCACTTGGAGGCTGAGGCAGAAGGATTACGAGTTCAAGGCCAGCCTAAACAAAGGTTGGCCTTGAACTCACCAGATTGCCCAGGATGGTCTCAAACTCATGGCAATCCTCCTGCCTCAGCCCCCTTGGCACAGTATATTAGATTTAAATAAACAGAAACTCAGTAGAAGAAACAAACACGAGACTTCACCTTCTACCACTAGAGACTCACAAACTTGCCCTCCATCATAAACAAGGCAATCAGATAGTATGTGTGAGGGATATATTTTAACAACAAACAACCCAAGTCATAATCCCTGGTAGGCAGGAAACAAAAATGAAGTGACCCTTAAAACTGTCCTAGCCCTCTTCTTGTAGTACTTTCTAGTCTGAAACATAGGAGACGGAGACCCAGGGTACAACAGGACTGCTACAGGAGACAGAACTTAATTATGGAGCCCAACGGGGCAAGAATGGGTAAGGCAGAATACTGGAGAATTAATTATGCAGAAAAAGGTTCCAGGTATCAATTTCTGGGCATGGTGGCATACACCTGTGATCCCTGCACGCAGGAGGCTGAGGCAGGAGGATCACTGAGAGTTCCAGGGCAGCCTGAGCTACACAGTGAGTTCCAGGCCAGCCTGAACTGCACAGTGAGACCCTGTGTCAAAAACAACTACAACAAACAGATATCTGAATTTACCCTTTAAGTCTATTCTTGAATCCCAAGTTCTGTTTGCACACAGTAAAATTCTGTGAGACCAGGCAAAGAACTTATGACAGAGCTATAAGCCCAACAAATACAAAACACACAGACTTGGGGGACTTCTCTGTTCTGATCAGCCAGACTGCACACAGAAGCTTAAGTGAACGCCTGGGACAGTCAGGAGAGGCTCCAGAAAGCCCACAAGTCACTTACAGTGGTAAACCACACTAGAATGAGGGCTACTTATCCTAATAAATTTTAAAATCTGCCACAATAAGCTGGGTATGGTGGCACATAAGGATCTCAAATCTGAGCTCAACTTGGGCAATTCAGCAATTGTCTCAAAATAAAAATTAAAAAAGAGTGCTGGGGATACAGCCCAATGATAAACCACTGGGTTCAATGCCCAGTACCACCAAAAACAAACAAACAAACAATGACCACAACTGAATAAAACTGACCTGCAAGAAGCCTAACTGTCAATTGGGCCTGGTGGTGCACACCTGTAATTCCAGTACTTAGAGGAGGCTGAGGCAGGAGGATTGCTGTAAGTTCGAGGCCAGCCTGAACTATATAATGAGACCCTGTCTTTAAAAAAAAAAAAAAAAAGGCAGGAGCAACTTTCACCTGAAATAAACATTAAAAACAAACAAACAAACAAAAAAAACACTACAAATATTTAATAAAGAAATTCACAATGTCTAAAACAATTTAAAATTACAAGAACCAGTAAAACATGATCCATAACCAGGGAGAATCAGTCACTAGAAATAGACTAGTAAGAAAATAAATAAATAAATAAATAAGTAAGTAACACAAGCTGAAACTAGCAGACAAAAACATTAAAACATCTACAATGAAAATAAAATTTCCAGAAAGAAAAATATAGTATGTGAAGTGACAATTACATGAGATGGGGCTAATAGATTAAAAGCTGTAGAATGAAAGAACGGTGAACTTGATATAAAATGAAACACTAACAGAAAGTGAGGGGGAAAAAATTGAACAAAACTTCAATGATCTGTGGGAAATTATCAAGTAGACCAACATATGCATAACTGGTGTTCCAAAAGAAAACTCAGGGTGTAGGGAAGCAGAAAATGTTTTTGAAAAAAAAGTATTTCCAAATACATCTGAAAAATAGTAATAGATACAGCCTATACAAGACTATGATGTCAGGTTTGGTAGCGCATGCCTGTAATCCCAGCACTGGGGAGGCTGAGGCAGGAGGATTACTGTGAGTTCAAGACCAGTCTGAGCTACAAAGTGAGCTCAAGGCCATCCTCAACTGCATAGCGAGACCCTGCCTCAAAAAGACCAAAAAAAAAAAAAAAAAGACTATAAGGAGTGCCACAAATATGAATACATGGCCAAGTATTTTACAGCTTTCTCATTTTACAAATTATTTACAAAATAAATAACCAATTTAGC